TATGCTAAAAATTTAAAATTATATTATATATATATATATATATATATATATATATATATATATTTTTTTTCACTAGAGAAAAAGTAAATACACCATGAAGGTTGAGAGAAAGACTGCAGATGAAAGAAAAAGGCTTTTCATTTTAATACTTTAATGGCATTTCCCCCCTATCCTTTGACCAATAAGGCCTTGCATTTTCATTTTTCACTAGGCCTGAAAATTACGTTGCCAGCCCCAAGGGAGGTTGGGAGAGACAGGGCAAGGTCATCCTCATTCATCTTTGATTCATCCAGATTAAGTCTGCTTTGGCTCAATACAATGAGGTAAATGTTGAATCCATTTGTAATCGCCAAAGTTCAAGGTCAAGGCCATAAAAGGGGGCTTTTAAATGTCAAACAACTTTCCAACATTAGCAGAGCCCTCTCAAGATCCAAAGTCAATCAAACCTAAATTATTTCCTCACCCATGGGTAACCTTCCAATCCATGGTGTGAAAAGCTCTACTTAAAAGGGGCGTTCTGGTATGTTGAGATTAGAAGGTGGTAAGTGGTTTCACAGAGAAAAAAATGACTCTACAGTTATGGGATTAATAAATATTTTAAAAGTGGTGAAAACTTATTTCAGTATACACCATCTACAATAAGGTCTAGTAAAAGCATTTATTCATTCAGTCAACAAATATATTCATTGAACAATGTACTACACCCTGGGGAAACTTTGGAGAATAAAATGAACATGTTACCCGCCCTCATTATTGACAGTCTGACTGGGGAGACTGTTAATAAACAAGAAAACAAAAAAATAAATACAACTATAAATTCTAGTCATTGTTATTTATAAAGAAAATAACAGGAGTGATCATCAGGAAGAATTTTTTTTTCTTCTGCTGTTTTTCTCCTCTGTGGTAATGTCATTCTCTTTGCTTCTTTCTCACTTGCAATTTTTCTCTATCCTCATATTTCCTCCTCTACTGATTCCATATATAAGTCTGAATATACTAATCTTGTGCACAGAAATGTCAAAGACTTACATAGCATATCTTCTAGAATTGGTTCATTTATTATTGAGCTTGGGTTGATAAGAGTTACTAAGCCCAAGGAACAGCAGAGATTGCCTTCTTCCAAAAGAAGGCTCAGCTACATCTAGAGCTTTTGTCCAAGAGAACTTTTTATGATGATGGAACTATTACACATTTGTGCTCTCTAGCCCAGCAGCTACTCAATGTGGCTACTGGGCACTTGGAATGTAGTTAGTGGTAGGCCTATTGTACAGCATAGCTCTAGGGATCTCCAAGTCAATGAAAAACCTGTTTATCAGGTGGGTGATGAAGGATGGTAGCCAAGGGCCAAGTTTGACAGACAACAAGTTCTCTGGGAAGTGCTTGCAGAAGTTCTTGGCCTTCTTGGGAATTGGGTGAGTGTCCTAGATCTGAGCAGGGTCTAAGCTTGGGGAACCAGGGAAGAGATACAAGCCAGGCATGAGAGAAACCCATCCCTCAAGTTAAACATTGCATGTAATCCTTGGTTGTGTTACCTAACGTATAAATAGTCTGTTCTTGTAACATAATTATCTCTCCCATGAGGACAGAACTTTGCATTTAGCAAAGCAATTTCACATCCATTATCTGCTTTGATTTTCACAATGAGGTAGTGAGATAGGCAGGACATGGGTTATTTACCCAACAAGTCAAAACTGGAATCCTCAACGGATTTCAGGTAGAGAAAATCTGTAAGGTCGCCATGAGCACCCTAGTCCCTACTCTGCCTTGGATCATCTGGACTAATCTCCATAGACAGTTAAACAGAAGAAAAGCTAGGTCCGGGGAGAAGGGACGGAATCATTCCTCCATCCCCGTGTCAAACCTCACAATGTTCCTGGTATTTTACTAGGTTTTGAGGATACAGCAGGGAACAAGACTGGCAAGACCCTTGGCATTCTAATGGGCAAAGAACCCCAGAATGAAATCAATATAACTTGTTCCTACCACCATGTGTATGTCATCCATGTGAATGTAGTCATAATCTATATGGTCACACTATGCCTCCCAAATGAGGAGACTTACTTGGCCTGAAGACTTGAAGAATGACTGAGCAAGGCAAGAATGACTGAGCATGGGAGACCTATTATTCTAAACCACTAAGGTCAGGCTGGCCTGTTTTCAATTCAACCTGGAAAAGTCAAATCCCGTTCTCTCAAAAGAAGAAAAACGGCCCCACAATTTCACAATCTGGCTCTCCCCATTCTCAGGGCTTTGAAAAAGGCATCAGGACTAATCATGGAACATTCATCTCCAGGTTGTCGTGACCTGGCTCTCCCCAATGTGATTCCTGGGTTGCAGACTAAGTCCTCTATAGTTTTTAAGGTCTCGGGAAAAATAAAAACGGTAAAAACACCCACAGATAATTCTCAATTTTGAGTGTTTTAGTCTTTCGTTAGTCTGAAGACAATCATGAAGATATTTCATCAGCAAAAATGTATCGATCATTTTATCATCTACTGTTTCATAGTTATATGGCACATAAATAAAACCATGGTTTCTACCCTTAGGAATATTTGGTGTTATAGAAGTTAAATAAGGAATTATATAGTCTAAAGCAGTACAAATGCTAACAAAAATAAAGGCAAGGGAATAGAAAGATAAAAGCTGATTTACTTTTGATTGTTTAGGTTTGATATTCCTTTGATTCATCTGAATTTGTTGATGTCCCCACTTGTGGGGATTTTTAAGAAAAAATGTAAATTTTTCTTAAGTTGTGTTAATACAATTGCCCTGTAGAATTAATTGTATGATTTGTTAATTTAGTCAGCAAGAGTTCAAGTTTCTATATACATCAGGCAACAGATTGGGTATGTGGTATGTAGCAGCGAATTAAACAGGCAGGAATTCCTGTTTTTGCAAGGTTTACACTCGAGCGAATTCAGGTTTCAAACAGTCTTCTTCTCTTGGGATAGACTGCCCCCACTCTTAGAAGATTCCCACCCCCACAGAAACGTATCTCAGACCCACCTCCTGCACTCTTCATGACCATGAAGAAATAAATGCAAGGACTAAGGTGGGGATAGTGTATCCACAAGCCACCTCTAAACTGCTGTCTCTGCTTTATACTCACATGGCAGATTTCCAGAGGCAGCCGGGACAAAACCATACATATTAAGAACCGTAAAGTAGGATTTCTTGGGCTGCGCTAGAAACCCCCAAACTCTTTCTATGACTGTTTCTATGGGAAAGGCCACCCAAGTTCTAAACAGCTGGCTTAGTCCACGCACTGCTGAAGCACACTCTGTAAGCTGTCGACAGCCTGTGCTCAGGCAACTAACTGCGAGCTCAAATAGCTAAAAACGATCTGGCACCCACACAGAAGCTCCTGCACACACATTTTGCTTTATACTTGGAGCCTTTCCATGACACTCGCTAAGGCATAATTATTACGAATGTCAGCCTCGAGGAGTAGCCTTGGAGACCCTTCCACCAGCTGGAATCGGGACACATACCAGCTTTAGCTACACGTCTGCCCAGGCTGGTGGCAGACAACTGAATGCAGGCTTCTGAGCAGCCCCTGAGGCAAGGTGTTTATATTTCATCGCAATCACTAGTTGCACTTCGTTTCTTCCACATGCAAATCAAAATGCCTCCATTTTCAGCTGCCAGGACAGCTGATTATCGTCACCATCGGAAACAGTAAATGCTTCTCTCAATGAAGGGACTGCTCTTTAGAAATTCCTGCGCATCTTGGGGCACAGAAAGAAAATGTCCTTGACAGTGCATCGTGGCTACGGGATGAACACACTGATCACACACATGCCTTTTCACGGCTGAGAGCAACTCCAGGCCAGGGTGCCCAGAAAATTCTCAGGGTTTGGAAAGAGGCAGCAGGACAAACCACAGAGCATTCAACTCCAAAGTCCCTCTCACCACCATCAACCAAGGTGATCTTGGGTAAAACACGTCCATGTTCCAGTTCCTTCTTGGTCCTGTTCTCTCCCTGGGATGGCTTCCTTGATCTCACTCCAAGTCTCAACTTCTTATAAAATGCTGTTCTATGAAGCCTTCCCAGAGTCCCTTAAGCCAGTGTTTCTCAACCTTCTGGCCCTTTAAATACAGTTCCTCATGTTGTGACCCCCAACATAAAATTATTTTCGTTGCTACGAAAATTATTTTCATAACTGTAATTTCGCGACCCACAGGTTGAGAACTGCTGCCTTAAGCCAAATCAGCTTCTTTCTTACTGATATCCCCACTCCAGCAGTCCATATCCGTTATAACATTTATCACGTGGTATTATTGTTGCATATTTATTATTCTATTTATTTTAGTTTATCATGTTATTTTATGGTCCTCTTAGTGTATCAGGCAATATGTTATCATGCCTACTTCTAATATTAGTAATATCATTAGTAATATTATGAGTGTTTACTACTTGTCAGACTATGTGAATACAATCTCTAATTGTTACAAGAGCCCTGTGAGATGGACATTATCATTCTTCCCACTTTTTTCTACACTTGAAAAATGTAAAACCAAGAGAGATTATATAAATGGTTAGTCATGGCACTGAGAGTCAAAATAAAGTCTATTTTCCCTTAAAACGTATGCTTTTTACCACTACCCTAAAATGCTACCTATAAATAATAGTAGATGGTATTTACTAAGTGCTTACTAGTACCAGGTGCTCTCCATATATTAGCTAATGTGATCCTCACAAAAACCCTGTGATGTAGATATTGTAGTCATAATCTCAATTTTACAAAAACAAAATTAAGGTTCAGAATGGTTAAATGACTTGCCCAAGGTCACAGAACTATGAAGAATGGATCTGAATGTAGGTCAATCTCCCCTTACCCAATACTCTATTCCATGACCAGATGGCAGATTTTCTTTCGTCTTTGCAAACACTGCACAGGTTTTCAAGAATAACCTGTCTGGAGAATGAAAACTGGACTGTGACCCAGTTTTCTGACTCACACAAATAAACCAAACCTATCAAGCCCCTAGGCACTCACCTTAGCACGTGTGTGGACCCATTAATGGTTGTGGTTGAACAGGGGACAGTTTGGCCCAGAATGGAAGGTCTTCGGTAGCGCTCATCATCACAGCAGAGGATGATGAGAAAGGCACGTCGAAAAGACTTATTCAAGAAAGCGTAGAGGAAGGGGTTCAATCCAGAATTGATATAGCCGAGCCAGAGGAAAGCTGTCCACACCTGCCCAGGGACCGTGTAGTCTACGAACGGATCCACAATATTGGTGACAAAGAAGGGGGCCCAGCAGAGGCAGAAGCAACCCATGATGATGCACAGGGTCTTGGCTGCTTTGGTCTCTGTCCTCATTCGATGCGTGCTATGCTGGTCTGTCGGCTGGGGCCTGCCCTCCGAGGGGGCTCCTGCCCGTTGTAGCATCTGGATCTGGTGGGCGTGCTCCTTGGCTGTGACATAGATGCGGTAATAGGCCAGCACCATGAGGAGAAACGGGATGTAGAAGGCTACCACGGAACAAGTGATGGCGTAGGGCTTGTTGACCATGAAGATACAGTACGTGGAGTTAGAGTTCTGAGGGAACTTCCTTTTTTCTATCTGAGAGGTGGAGGGAGAGAGAAAGGGAAGAAAAAAGTGAAGGGGAAAAAGTAGGAGGGGAATGAGGAGAATTGTAAGAAAAGAAAAAGGAGGAAAAAGAAAAGGAGAATATGAAGGTAGAAAGAAGGGGAGGGGAACAGGGAAGGAAAGAGAGGAAAGAATAAATGAATTAAGGAAAAAGGAAAGAAAAGGTTTATCAGCACAGCTTTCTTTTTTAAAAAACAAATAAACCTACAACCCTGATGGTAGAGAAAGAATACAACCAGATCCCAGGGCTCAGAGGGCTTGTCTATCCAAGAGGGGCTGAAACCCCAGTAAAGAGTAGAAATAAAATAGGGACAAAAATCACTCTTCATTCTATCTACCCAGCCAATAGTGGAGCCCTGCCTGTCCTCCCGTCTTGTATGCTTGCACACAGTAGATTTGGTAGTAAAAGTCTTCAAACTGTAACTCATCTTCTTCAAGACTGTGTTGGCTGTTCTTATAATCTCAACAATTCCCATATGAAATTGATCATTAGCTTATCAACTTCTATAAATATCTTTAAGGATTTCAATTGGAGTTAAAACAGAATGATTGAGGAAAACGGATATCTCTACAATGTTAAGTCTTCCCATTCACAAATATGATAATCCTTGCCCTTTATGGAAGTCTTTAAAATTTCATTTTGGTATTATTTAATATGTTTTGTGTAAATGTCTTGTGCATCTTTTGTTAGGTTTATTCCTGAGTATTTGACTTTTTATTCTATTGCAAATGGTACCATGTTAAAATTATAAACCCTAATTATTTGTTGCCAGGAGGGAGAATTCAATTTTTTTTTTTGTATATTGACTATGTAGCCAACAATTTTGTTTAATGAATTACTAATATCTCATCTCTAGATTCTTTTGAATTTTCTCCATGCACACTCATGTGATCTGTAACAAATGACAATTTCCTTTCTTCCTTCCTATTATTAACAACTTTTCTTGCATTATTGAACTTGACAAGTCCTCCAGTAAAATTCTGAATGAAAGTGGTAGAGTGGACACCACTTTCACATTCCTAGTTTTAGGAAGGGAGCTATCGATATTTTACTATTAAGTGTGATACCTTTAAGTTTTTTGTAAATGCTTTTTATTTGATTGAGAAAATTGAATTTTATGAATTTTAACAAGTCATAAATGGATATTGAATTTTGTCAGTGCATTTTTTGCAACAATGAGATGATCATGTGGGTTTTCCCTCATACAGTGAATTACATTGATTGCATTGCATTCCTCACTTGCATTGAATGCTGTGGTACACTAGATCCCTTTTGCAGGATTGAAGGTCTTTTCTCCCAATTATGAATTTTCCAGACTGAGCTCTTAATTATCAGCCTTCTCTGGGAAGAGCCCTTGGCTAAAGAGAGCTGTGTAACAAAATGACACTTCTGTACCTGAGGCCAGCCTGCATCCAGTGTGAATATTACACATAAATGAAGATAGGAATAAAAAATATATACAACACACATATGTTATTACTTGTGTGATTTAGTATCTTGTCCTATAGTCTATTATAGGGTTATGGCATATCTTTCTATTGAATTGACATTTTATGATTATGAAATATCTCATTTTATCTCAAGTAATTTAACTTGCCTTAAAATTATTTTATCACTGATAACAGTATAGCTATACCAGCTTTCTTTTGGTTAGTGTTTGTATATGATATTTTTCCATTATTTTATTTTCAATTTTTCTGTCATCTTATATTTCATGGGCCTCTCTTACACGCAGCATGTATTATATATTGATTGGTTGGTGAAAATATTGTGACCAGAGACTTGGAGAAAACTAACCTTGTATTTCTCCAAGGAGCAAAGATTTAGTATTTGCTAATTCAGTGTTTGTGGCAAATAATCACTGCAAATAACGAAAATCAACTGTATATGTATTGTGAACACATGGGTTCTGCTAGCTTTTCTCTGGGCAGATTCAATGTGCAAATGAGTCGAAAGATATAAAATGCAGTCACAACATCATGGAGCAAATACTAGGCATGTTGACACTGAGATGCCACACCTTCAGTTCCACAAAGTAAATAGGGGATGCCTCGCTCATAAACGGGCAAAAATCCCCTAGGTTATTTCCCTTAAAAGTCTACATATGAAGGTAAAAGTGCTGTGCCCTTATTAAAAGTTCTGATGCACAAAAGCTTATGCTTCCACAGGTTTTATCCATTAAGGAGTAAGTTAGTACAGACAGGAGGAGCACATACACTGGCTCCCAGTAAGCTTGGGCTTAGATGTAATGACCACCCCTCTCAACCAATGTAACTTTAGCTAATAACTTCACCTCTCCGAGCCTCATTTCCTGAAGATAATAATAGGATATACATAGCCTTGTTGTGGGGCCTCAGTGAGGTTCATAAGAATAGAGACACTATTGACATGGGGCTTGGTGCACAAGAAGTGTTCATTTGTTGGCCATTATTATATTGGTTGTTGGAAACTTGAATTTCATTTCTCCCCAAGAATGGTAAAACTGAAAGTTTGAAAGAAGAGGAATAGAATTCAAGAAAATATCCATACAGTCTCCCTTGTATGGGTCCCCTTTCTCCACTCCTTTGTCCCCAGCATTGCTCTCAGAAGCCCTGGGAACTCTTGTTCTGACATACCACATGCAAATCCTCGCCCAGCCTTGGTTTGGGTATTCCTTCCTGGACAAAGAACAAGGCAAGATTAGGGGCTAGAAATGGGGTGAAGAGAAGAAGGGGCAGCTTCTATTCTAACTGGTTCTGTTGGCCAGAGCTTGCTCTCAATCTCTCACCTTTCCCCTTCCTACCATGAGATGGTCCTGGGATCAACTTTACAGTGACAACCTGACTGCTTCCTTAGGGAATGTATACCCCTGGTAATGAATCCAGACCATAGCTTTTAGTCACAAATTTGGTATTGCAAAGATAGTGTGTCAGAGCTGAATGACTCTCAAAGACTACCTAGACTGGGGTTGGTAAATGCCTGACACATGTGCCATCATGTTATTCCTCTAAGCCCTGGAAGACACTATTCTCCACTGGGGACCAATGGATCACAGCCTTGAAGGAAGTGGGTCAGTGAGAGCGCTGACTTGGGGTTCAGCTCTCAACTCCTGTCCAGGGCTCTCTTTGCTCTCCAAAAGCTTCCACTCACATGACACGTTTTCTGTGGATTACTGAAAGCCTCAAAGACTGCCAGCATGAAATAGGATGAAGACCTCTCGGGGCACTGGAGTCAGAATGCTAAGCTTCAGACACCTGTTCTGCTATTTAGTAGGCATATTAGTGGGCCTGTTACTTCACCTTTCTGAGTCTGACTTTTCTCATCTAAATGAGATCAGCAAAGGATGCTATCAGGATTATCGGTAAAGTATTTCACATACTTTATGGCATACAGCAAGCATTCAAAAATGCTAGCTTGCTTTTTTGTTGTTATTCTTGTCATGGCGCAGACCACTGTCAGAATCTTTCTCAGAATATCCACCCAACTTGATACTGTTTGTTTATGTAGAATCCCAGGCAAACAAAGGGAATCGGCCAGTGGGATCTGCGTGGGGTCTACTCACCAAATCAATTATGCCAATGTTGTTCCAGCCTTGCATTATAGGAAGAAAAGAGATAAACATGGGGATGACCCAGCAGCCTCCCAGCATTAACGCGATGCGCAGAGGGGTCATCTTGTTCCTATAGACCAAAGGCTGGCAGCAGATGGCATAATACCTGGAGAGAGAATAGGGAGGGGGTGCCACGGGAGAGGAAGAAAGAGGGAAAAGGAGGGAGAATAATTGATGGGAGAGGAAGAGGGAGAAGAAGGGAGATACAAAAAGGAAATATTGGGAAAGAGAAAAATTGGAGGGGGAAGTTGAAAATAAAAATAAGGAAGAAAGAATAGAAAAAATAATGGGGGAGATGGGGGAGAGTGGGTAACAGAGGAAGGGAAGGAGGAAGGGGAGAGACAAGAGGAAATAACAGAGGGAAGAAAACAGCAATTATACAATAACATATGTTATACTGGCCAATGAGTTTCTGCTAATATAAATATCAACTTTCGATCACATCTGAGAATCATTTCCTAGAGCCAGCTCCATATCCCTCTTCCACTCCTAATGCCTGCACAGCTGAGGGTCTGCCCTGTCTCAGACACAGCTCCAACAGTGCTCTCATGCCTGGGCATTTGAGGAACTTCGGTCCAGCCCTCTGGGCCTCAATGTCCTGGCATTTGTGATCCTCTTTGATAACAACTTGAGGTGATTCACACGTGGCCCGACATCTGAGCTCTAAGAACTGTCTCAGATCTGTCACCATTCTCTCTTTTTTAAAAATATACTTTATTGATTTTTTACAGAGAGGAAGGGAGAGGGATAGAGAGTTAGAAACATCAATCAGCTGCCTCCTGCACACCCCCTACTGGGGATGTGCCCGCAACCAAGGTACATGCCCTTGACCAGAACCGAACCCGCGACCCTTCAGTCTGCAGGCTGATGCTCTATCCACTGAGCCAAACCGGTTATGGCTGTCACCATTCTCTTGATCACCTGCCTATACTAACGTGATGCTAAGTCAATGTTCCTTACATTGTGGTCCAGGGATTCCATCCTGTTCCCCTGCATGAGATTCACCTGAGGAGGCCTATTTAAAAATGCAGATACCAAGGATCTCCAGAGGAAGGACCTGGAGTTGGCATTTTGACAAGAGGAAGTCATTGCTGCTGTTCGCTAAGTATGGCCCAGCCCCTCTTTCTGGGCACATGTGCTTCCTGGCCTCCTTGTGGTTGGGTAGGGCCAAGTGACTGTCTGGTCAATGAGTTATGAACAGAGCTGACACGTGTTACTTCTGGGCTGGACTAGTTCATTGTTTCTCTAAGAATGCAAAATTTCAACTATTTCCTGTTTCATCATTTCCTGCCTACAGATAGAGACCACCTCACCCGCTTTATCAGGTCTTCTCTTCCTCACAGGGCTCACTGCTCATCTTTCTTTGAGTCTGTGTTCTGCCTATGATACTGGCTTTCTTCTTACCTCCACATAGAGATGCAACCTGCCCCACTCAATGATCAAGTCTCTAACTCCAAGACTGTTCCTTGCATGCCATTCCAACCTTAGAGATCACCACTTCCATGTCCAGGCAGTTCATGGAATTTGACAACAGGCAAAACATCACAGTAGATCTATCAGCTATTTGTCTTTGCAAGAATCTAAAGTGCAAAAAGACAGCCTGAAGGCTAAGTCTCTTCTTTAAGATTTAATACCATTTAATGATGAGCCACCCCCCAACCCCCCTCATTTCATGTAGTTCACTTTGTTAATTTTCCCCACCTCTTCTTTTCTTAATTCAAAGCATAACTAATATAACAATGGCAGTATTTTTGAAGAGGTGGTGGTGGGAGGAGTTGGAGAGGGTGGAATGAGGCCAATGTTAAAGCATGATCAGTGGGTGCTTTGGGAGATGGGGGACGGGGATTATACTTTTCCTTCTAAGGCATCAGGGAGCCGCTGGCCGCACTATGCTTCCTGTGGCCAGAGAGACAGTGGGTGTCTTGACTTGCAACAGAGTGCAAGAAACAAGAGCCCGAAGAATGGAAGAGGGGATTAGCCAGGAACTCTTTTTTTCTTTTTCTTTTTTTTAAAAAAATTTTTTTTTATTGATTTCATAGAGGAAGGGAGAGGGAGAGAGAGATACAAACATCAATGGTGAGAGAGAATCATTGATCGGCTGCCTCCTGCACGTCCCACACTGGGGATGGAGCCCACAACCTGGGCATGTGCCCTGACCAGGATTCAAACCATGACCTCCTGGTTCATAGGTTGATGCTCAACCACTGAGCCATGCCAGCTGGGCAGGAACTTATTTTTTTCTGTGTGTGAAACTGACATGATAGCCAACTCTAACTAAATATAACCCGGTAATAGAAGAATGATGATTATCTGGAATTCCCTCCATGCTCTTGACTTATAAGAAAAGCACGTTATATCAGAGTGGCAATTTTATTTTCTGAATGGCTAGACCAATAATCATTAGAGGCTTATTATTAACACAAAGATGGTGAATTAGGTGTGTATGAAAATACATTTTTTTCCAAATTTTGCTCCCTCCCTCCTTTCCTGCTAGAGGACCTAGATTAGACATTTTGTTGTGTCCATTTAGCATCCTTCTTCTTTTTTCTTGGTAATAGCATCCCTTGTCTTTGGGGAATTATCTCTTGTCTGTTGTTAGGGTGTTGGGAAAGCAAATTATCGGATTCTGACATCTCCAACCAAGGAGTCACCCAATCAGTGTCTCCTGGGATTCTAGACGTCATGCAGAGTGACGCAAAGATGGGACAGTCAGGGTCGGTACCCTATTCCCGCAGCAAGTTCATGTGGGGCTGAGATTAGTTCCTTTCCCTGGGTCTTTGGGAAGCCATGTTTTTGCCCCTTCCATTCTTCATTGTGTAACTCTTCCTTTAATTTAATAAGCCACCTTATATGTTGCCAATAAATGCTCTTTTTGCTTAAGTTGCTGTTATGGGTTGAACTGTGTCCCCTTCCTCCAAAAGAAATGTTAAAGCTCTAAACTTCAGTAGCTTGGAATGTGACCTTATTTGGCAATGGGGTATATATAGAGCTAAGCAAATTAAAATGAGGTCATTGGAGTGGCCTTCATCTAAAATGACTGATAATCCTCATAAAAAGGGAATTTTGGACACAAAGACAGACATGCACAAAGAGAAGATGGCCACGTGAGGACAGAGGATTGGAATGATGCATCTACAGGCCAAGGAATAGCAAAGATTGTGAGAAAATAACCTGATGCTAGGAAGGGTTCAAGATTATTCCCAAGGTCTTGGTACCCTGAGGCAGCTGCCCTATTATCTTTCCTCGTATCTTTTTAATCTTTGCTTTATAACAAAGAATTTAGAAAAATAAACAACTTTTTGAAGGCTGTATTCAAGAATCTAAATCAAGTAGATGAAAATAAATATTACTGAATAAAATGATTAATAAAAACTGAATTCCAGTGCTAACTGACTAATGACGCTTCCTTACAAATTCTAACTTTTGTCTGTAAATCAAGGACTAGCTAAAAATCTGATAATTTGATTTTTATCTATTATGGTTGCTTTTTAGTTCCTATAATTGGATTATATTCCCCCTGCTAGGAAGAAAAATATTTTTCCTACCATGAATTGCCCCCAAAACACATGCATAACACCATTAGACAGAAGTAGTTAGTGAAAACTTGTATGCATATATATGCATAACTCATACACACAGACAATAGGGTGGTGAATGAAGGCCTGGGGTGGGGGTGAGGGCGGACTAGAAGGGGTCAATGGGGAAAAAAAGGGGGACATATGTAATACTTTCAACAATAAAGATTTTAAAAAAATTTTGCAAGTTCTTTGGAGGTCAGGCAAAACAACCTGGCTGAGTTAATAATAAGAGGTACTATCCATTTACTTAATAAGGACTCTACCTGTATTGTCTCAATAAGTCCTCACAACTACTTTTAAGATAGGAACTATAAATGTACCCATTTCACAGGTGAGCAAAAAGAAACACAGAAGTGTCAGGATTTGGCTAAGGTCCCACAGGTGGTAAAAGCCAGATCTAGCCCAGAGAGCCTGACTCAAGGGCTAGGATGTTACCCTCATTACTATTACTTTACTACCTCCCCTAAATCCCCACGGGATTATTCTATATCTTTACAAGCCACTTTAGGAACAATCAAAACATACAAACACTAAATCTCAGAATACTGAAATCCCTAGTCCTGTCCACAATGAAGTGTAGCCAAGCGTACATTAATGCACCAAGGACTGGAATTCACCATTCTACCATAGTACATTGGGAACTTAAGGCGATCCTGAAATTAAGACTGTTTCTTCCAAGACTGCTTTCTGTAATTTCCAGTTTTACCCTCTGGCTACATTTAAAACTTCTATCTCTATTCTTTTTCTGTATAGTGGTCCTATGGACATCTGAAGAGGGCTTTTATATTTTTCTGAAGCCTCACTTTCTATAGGTAGAAACATTCCTAGTTATATTCAACCAGGGTTGATTTTGCTTGCTAAGGGATACTGGGCCATGTCTTGAGATATTTATTGTTGTCGCAACTGGGGAGGGTGATGGTCCTGGCATCCAGTGGACAGAGGCCCAGGAGGCTGCTAGATGCACAGGACAGCACCCCACAACAAAGAATCAACCGGTCTACAACGTCAGTAGTGCTGAAGCTGAGTAACCCTGGTCAAGAGGAGGTGATTTTTGCCAATGGCAGGGCTCCATGTCCTCTGTATGTGCTGTGGTGTGCCATTATCTCTTAAGAGTGGGTGCCATGATACTCTGGTGTACCCTATATAAATGGGAGAAGACTAGTACATCCCCTTCCACCCTGCCCACCACAACTTAACACAGACAGGGGACACCCAGGAGTCCAAGACACCTGCACTCCTTCTAAGAGCAGGGTGCGAGGTGAGAAAGTCTTCCCCTAACTGATTTATAAAGTCCAGAGATGTTTGTCTCACTCACTCCTGTATCCCCAATGCTTAGTGCAAAGCTAGAGACAGAGTACATACTCACAAAATGGGTTGAATAAGAATAAGCCCATAATCACAACCAATTAAAATAAATTACACTGAATGTGGGACCATGTTTTAGGGATGTGAAAGGTCATATCTAATAGAGGAATGGGGAGGCTTTCTCTAGTAGGTATCTTTTAAGTAGGACTTTAGAGACTAGGTA